TACTAAAACATCCGTGTCCATCCTTACAACTCATAACCTAACGCTAAGTGAGGCACATTTTTAGTCCAGATCCATATGTGATGTAGTTTGAGCGTATGTAAAAAAAATGAAAAAGATAATATAGTTTAGCATATAATAACAATTTAGCTAAGTTATTTAATTAGTTTTTATGGACAAATTGAACCTATACATTAATCATACATCATGAGTAAGTTCGAATCAATCAATGTTAATGTTGATGAACAATAATGTCTTGACTTTAAGAACTTGAAGATGTGCACTTTGAAACCATAAACCATTTAGTTTATGTTCAACCTAATCAATTATTGATGAATTCACTTAGAATATATATATATATATATATATATATATATATAGAGAGAGAGAGAGAGAGAGAGAGAGAGAGAGAGAGAGAACATGACCAATAACGTTGTTATTTTATTTGGCTATTGTTGTGTTTTAGTGATTTTGGTTTAGTGAAAGATGTCATTTGTTGAATTGGTTTTGTTTTTGAAAAAATTGGAATTGTCACTTTGTTTTGGCATATTAATATGAAATTCAGACATTCTTGCCATTATAAAAGTTTAATAGCAAACTTGTATATATTTGAATGTATTTTTTTTTTTTTTGTAAAAAATTTGCTTTTGTTAATGAAATCAAAATACATGCTGTTTTTTGAAAGGAATAATTACACTATAAATACACCAACTTTTAACATTTTTCTCAATCAAATATATAAACTTTAATTTTTTTCGTTTGAGAATACTAAATTTTTCAAAACTTTCAATCAAGTACTTCAGTTAATTTTTTTATTAACCGATGACGAGTTCACTATCCTCGAATACCAAATTATAATTTTGCCTTTTTTTTTCTCATGGAGTACATGAATTTTAATTTTTTCAGATTGGGTACACTAATTTTTTCAAAACTATCTATCAAGTACTTATGTCAATTTTTTCATTAATTAATGATATGTTCGAATACCAAATTATATTTTTTGTTCTTTTGTTGTAAGTAACTTTTTTCTTAAATTATTTTATCATTTTAAATTTTGACAAAGAATTAAAAAATATATTTGTAGTTATAAAATCTCGAACTAAACTTATTTAGGCTTACTATTAAAAAACAATCGGTTAGGTTTTGTGTGTGAAAGTTGATAAAAACACAAACGTGAGATTTTTTATCGATAATATTTATTTGTGTTTTTCTTCAATTTTTACTCTCAAAATCAAATGACTTTTATTTTTTATTTTTTTTTAACAACAACCTAACTAAATTTAGTTTAAAATTTTATTAATAAAAAACAATGTTTTTTTTTAATTATTTGTCAAATTTTAAAATGATAAAATAATTTAGGGAGAAAGTTTTTCAACCAAAAAAGAATAAAATTATAATTTTGTATTCAAACATGTCATCAATTAACAAAAAAAAATTGATGCAAGTACTTAATTGATAGTTTTGAAAAAATTGATGTACTCAAACAAAGAAAATTAAAATTTATATACTCGATTGAGAAAAATGATAAAAATATAATTTGGTATTTTGAGGGTATAAAAAACGTCATTAGTTAACAAAAAATTGACGAAATACTTGATTGATAGTTTTGAAAAAATTGATATACCCGGACAAAAAAAAATTAAATTTAATATACTAGATTAGGAAAAAGTTAAAAGTTGATGCACTTATAATATAATTATTCTTTTTTCTGAAATAACATTCAAATATTTAGGATTTAAAGTGTAATTTATGAAAATATAAAGTGTAAAGTATTACCATGCTCAAACTACAAGATGTTTAAAATAATTTACCCAAACAAAAACTAATCCATTAAGATGAACACTAACGAAAAAGATATAATTATAACAAATAAATATGTATTTTTTTATATCAAATTCATATTTTACTTCTTTCTCGTCAATTTTTCTTCTTTTTTTTCTTTTTTGCTTTATCAATATCTTTAAAAAAAACATGAAATTGACGAAATTAAAAATTGGTTTGAAAACATATAGATGGAATATGTAATTTCCAAAACCATGAGGACCAATTAATTAATTTTCTTAAACTGCATGGACTAAATTATTATAATGGATTGAAAAAACAAAAAAACAATGAAAATTCAGATATTGTAAAGAGGTGAAATTTTACTTTGTGTCTTTATACTATTTAGCATTGTTTATTTTAACTCTTTTTCAGGTATGATACAAAATAAATCATATACTAACCATTTTATCCATGGCCAATCAATCATATAAAGACATATGATTAAAGAAAGTGGATGAAAAGTCTAGTTTGTTTTAACGTTTAGTAATTTAGAATTTATTTTGTATAACATCTGAATACAAAAATTAAAACAAACAAGAACATTGGATGAATTTCATCCTATTATAAAGTAGAAAGTGCTACTAAAAATCACTTAAGATTATTACATATTTAGTATATGAGCTTTGCGACTTTTTTCTACTTGAGTGTACAATCCTTCAAAAATTATTATTTACAAACTTTCAAATATTTGTAGGATTAAATACACCATGTGCTTCTATACTTTATCGAAAATATCACTGCAATCTCTTTATTAAGATATTTTCTATGACAAATGTTATATTGTTAGACATTACTGTGAAATAGCTCATTTGTTAACTTTTCCGTCGGATTGATTAATTTTTGTTAATTGATTAACATGTAAACTAACATGAAACCAATTAAGTGACGACATACGTCAACTTAAGGATAAAAATATAATTTTATTTTAAAATCAGTTTTTTTCATACTTTAAAAAGCTAAAATATTTAATAATTATTATAAGATCATTAAAAATTAAAAAACATTCTAAAGAAAAATTTTAAAATAATCAAAAAATTTTTCAATTTCCAATGAATCTATAATAATAATTATTAAATATTTTTAAAAAAATCTAAAGAAATTATTTTTTCAAATTTTAATGATTTTATAATAATTATTAATAAATAATTTTTTCATGATTTTATGACAATTATTAATAAAAAAATATTAAAATTTATTCAAAATATGATCTATATAAAATTATAAAGTAGATATTCATTAGACTTTAAAATTAATAGCACTCATTCAAAAAAAAAAAAAGTATAAACACTCAAATAAAAAGCAAATAAAAATATAGAATTTTCATTAAAAATAAAATGAAATATTCATGTATATATAACTGACAAGTCAGCATACTATCACGTCAATTTAACAGTATCGTCAGCATCTATTTCATATAATCTAACAGAAATACTTTATTATTATTTTTGAAATTTAACACACTTAAATAGGAAAAATTAAAATTAAAAAATTTACATACAGAGTATGTCATAATCTTAATTAAAAATCCAAAACGACAATGCCTTCATATATAATCCAACGAACCATCGATTCAGACGACAGTTCAGTTGAAAATTTTGATTTTCTCGAGAGAGTGCGGGAAAAAAAGCAGGATTTTCGTCTTCCCCATTTGATTAGGTTAATCCGTCTCAAAAATTGATTAAGCTTAGAGCTTCTCCATTGAGCAATCTTTACCATTATCCGAACTCTGCATCTCCTACGAAGGTTCAAGCTCTTGAATCGTAAATCTCTACACTTCTTAAATCTGATTCTTATAATTTATTCATTTTTGTTACAAATTCTGGATTTTTGTAGGAGATGATGATGTTTTTAACTTTTGATGGATTTATAGGTTTGTCGCTCCCCTTAGTCTGTGAATTTATTTTATGTTTTTAGTTAAGCTTATATTAAGAGACTGTTGACTAATAATCTTGGCCAAATTGGAGAGGGTTTGCCATTATCTTTTGATGGATTCACAGGTTTGTTATGTATGCATTACCACCTTGTTTGTTTAGTGTGCTATGCTTGTTTTTAGGATGCGTTACCACCGCCTTTTCACACATTCTTTCAACTAAGCTGCAAATAATATTGACATTAATAAATTAGTTATGTCGTATTCTTTTATTTTAGTATAATTGCTAATGAACTGTAGCTTAATTTGTGTGTCGCGCTCCCCATCCCCCACTAAACTTATGTTTGAGCCAAAAATTTACGTAGATGCAGCGGATACGAGTTCCGGTACTTCATTAGTTTGCCATTTTGGTTGTAGATTCCAGACACTATGAGAAGATTTTGAAGTTGATGATCTTGAAGAACGTTCCAGCTGTGGGTGGATATGCAGGTTTGCAACTCCATTTAAACTATAATATAGGATTTTTTGAGGTTAAATTGAGAGACTGTTAGTAGATGACAACCTGTGAGTTGTTGCGGAAGCTAAGGACTTGTGGAATCATGCATGGTCTCTTAGTGAAATCCAGAACTTGGCTCTGACATTTATGTTAGTTGCTGTCCTATTGGCAATTTTCTAGTGGAGTGTCACACAGGCAGTAATCAAAGTTCTGGAAATTTCATGTCCTCTTCAAAGCTTGATAGCCTTTAAATTTTTTTGGCCAACTTTTGGAGTTTTTTTTTTATCTGCAGTCAACATAGAGGCTCCTTAGCTGCTATTTACATGGCTATAGTAAGAACAGATACAACAAGTCGATAATGAAGCCTTTTTTAATCTCACAAGAGATGGATCTAGATGTCCTCGAAAGAGAATATAAGCCTTGACTCCTGGAAATCTTTTGATACCACTTCACCAGTAACAACTTTTCTCCAAGTGATCCCTAGCAAGTATTATCAAAGAAAGCGACACTTATCAAACTGTGATCAAGACTACAATGGGCAAAATCTTGGTGCTTTGACAAGTTTTATGTGACAAGTAATATTTGTTGTTCTTTTTCTCAATTAAATACACCCAATGTAACTACTAATACACAAATTAGTAATCAATATTTGTTTTTCTTCTATGAGAGACACTTTGTAAGGCAGGAGCTTTGTTAAGAATATTTATGATATTAGATAATAATAGATATTTCTTATCCTTATCTTCTCAATACATGTTGCTATCAGAAATCTTGCATATCTTTATTATACGGGAAACTGCTTTATCCACTGACCTATTTGCAGTTTTCAAGCGGAGCTCCGCACAGGCACCTGTTATGGAAATATGTGGAGTAATCAAAGCTCTGCAGCTTACCACCTACAGGAATCTGACCACACAGCCTGTTGTAACTCACGTTCAGGGACTGCAAAGGTAGTTGCGTCATTTGTGGAGGAATGCTACCGAAAATCTTGTTGTGATTAATGTCCAAATTTGCCATGCCACTTGGAAACACCACATTTGACAAATTCAATTGGAATATATTCCTAGAGAGATACACATTTTGAGTAGTTTTGTTCAGCCCAAATAACATGGAAGCATCACCAACAAGTTTGTTGCGCGATAAATCAATGACGCTGAAGTCCATGTTCCCTAAGGATGCAGGGATTTCACCAGTAAGTTGGTTGTGAGACAAGTAAAGATCCGGTATGCTGCCTTTAAAGGTACCAAATGATTCTGGTATTGAACCTGTGAGCTTGTTCCTGTCCAAGTGAAGAGCACCAAGATTTGGCAGCAAAGCTAGTGAGCTTGGTATTGATCCAGATAAGCCGTTAAAAGACAGGTCCAAGAATGTGAGATTCTTGAGTTGGCTTAGAAAGTCAGGTACTGTCCCAGTGAGATGTAGCCAGTCAAGTCTGAGAAACTTTAGGTGTACGAGCTTGGCAATGGCTGGTTGTATGGGACCTGTAACATTTGTCAGCTTGCGGAACACAAGGGTCTGGAGATAGGGCAAGTCCCCAACTGCAGCAGGGATTTGGCCAGAAAGGTTGCCGGCAAAAACGGTGAGAGAAATGATGCGGTTGGTAGTGGAGTCGCACTCAACCTGGTACCAATCTGTGCAGCAATCAGTGTCCGATTTCCATGAGGCTAAGAGGTAAGGATCGCCAAAATGTTTTTTGATTTGGAGGAGAACCTTTTTATCATGGGAATTGCAACGTTCTTTTGAGAGGGAGAGTGAAAGAAGAGTGCAAATGAGTAGGGAAAGGAAAAGGGCTTTCATGTTTGCTTCTGCTCTGGTAGATCTCTTCTTCTTTTTTTGGGCTATGTTCTTTTAGAAATGGAATGCAAATGTTCTATTTATATAGGGTTCTGGCGTTGATATGTTTGTATGGTTATGAGGTATGATCCGACGAAAGACTATAGACTCCTCAAACCTGGTTTGATTGAGAGAAAGTGTAAGTTAATCTTGGCCAAAATATTTGACTCAACTAAGCCACAATTCGTTTTGTATCCCTTTACCACTGGTTTTGCTGTTGGTTTATGCTCCCATGAGAGACAGTAGTGTGTGTTTATCCTCTTAAGCACTTCTATTAAATTCTAGCTGTCTTTAATTATTGACTAAGTTGGTCAGCAATTTATTGAACAAGTATTCAAGTTGTAATTCTTATTGGCGTTGTATAAACTTTGGATACTATCTGATATTGCGTTACTGTCTCTCTCTTATCCTGCCTAAATACCCACTTGACCATAAAATTTTCTAATGAATAAAGCAAGTTTATACATTGATACAAAAATATTTTATATTGTCCAATTTCTAAATATATGAAAATCAAGAAAATATTTTGCACAAAACGAATGCCACTTCGCAATAATTAACTTTGGAGTATATTGCAGCTTTACACGGCTGCATGGAACCAAACTACTTTGGAGCAGTCAATTACGAGGGGCAGGGGCCATGTTCGTTTAAATGAGCTGGATCTCAATTTCCTGATGGTGTGGAAAGAGAACTTAACGATTGACTTCTCAAGGAGAAGATCTAGTATAGTTCTACACTTGAATGTGCCTCCATCACAAACAACTTCACCACGTGATCCCTGACTGGTCCATAAAATGATATTTTATCAAAAAGTGATCAAGATTGCAATTGGCATATTATTGGTGCTTTGGTTGGTTTCGTACGACAAGTAACTTAAACAGGCATGCATAACTATTCATGGAAACATTCTGTTATCTTCGTTTTCTTTTGCCGGTGGGTTTAAACCCATTTCATTGCGATTCCGTATCTAATAGTGGTGGTTATAACTAAGTGCTAGCTAGTTTAGCTAATAAATCTGTTCACGAGGGGTCAAGTAGCTTGGTGTTAGAGTTGGTTATCAAATTGAATACGGCTGAGTGAAGAAGAAAAAGAAGAAGAAGAAGCTAGAGAGAAGATCTATTGTATTTTTTTTTTTCTTTTCTAACGGTCAATGAATGAATGTTTTCTCCCCTTTAGCTCTTTAAAGCTACTAACTAATTCTCTCTGGTATAAAATTAATGAGAAATTTTATAATACTCAAAGAGTAATTACTCGTACGTACGTCGTTACTTAATGAATCTATTTTTTTTAAAAAATGAGATAGATATATAAAAAAATATATACATCTAGATCCATCAAAAGTGATAAAAAGATTTTTACGTTGGCTTAAAATTTTTTTAAAGTTTTCTCTCTCCTCTTTGTGCCTATCTCTCTTTATGAAGTAACTTCTTGATTTATTTTTTGAATTTCAAAATTTTATGAGGTTATTTGGTATTTTATCTGAATTTATTTTAGTTATTGCCATAAACATTACATTTTTAGGAGCTATTTTGATTTTCCATCAAGTTAACCTAGATTTTGATTTTAGTTATGGCTAAAATTTTTATATGATCAAGATATATCTATTGCTAATTTATATTTTAAATTTCATAATTTTTATACATTGTTTGGTATTTATTTGTAGTTTTTTTAGTTTTCCGCATTGCAATTCCATTTAAGGGGCTATTTCAATTAATTAATTATTTTGGGTTAGTTCCATCTGGAGGGCTATTTACCGACATCATAAACTCCACCTATTAATGCCTCTTTGTCTAGAGATTCTAACAATCTATCAAGCTTCATCATTTCTTTTTAGAAATGAGATAGATAAGTTCGTATGCTTTCTCCTATCTTTTGGTGTGATAGAGAATATGTCAATGGAGCTTTTCCGAATACGAATGCTAGTGAAGAAATATATATGCGATGAGCTTAGAGCATAGATCCTCAAAGTTTAGTACAAACTCAACGTCTAGGTTATTATACATTTTTCTAATTATTTTTTTAAAAGTGGTGGAGAGGATTTTACACATACTGTCCGCACCTCGAGCACCAACTTGAGAGTACTTTTGACGTTTTACACGTATTTTAATAAATTAATTATACCATTTTAGGTGCCTAGATTTATGTTTATAGAGGTGAATTCTCTCGAAAGCTTAATGTTCAAGACACAAGAAATCGGTGAGAAGACTTGAACTCTATGAATGTAGTTATCTAGCTTAATTTGGTCGGCAAAAAATGGTCAATTTCTCACCCATCCATGGTTGCTTTAGTTTAGGACTCATTAAGGCTATTCTAGATGAAGCTATTCGATTGAGTCCTCTTTAGCAATCTCTCATGCTTTAAGCTATTCTAATTGAGTCCTCTTTAGCAACCTCTCATGCTTTGTTGATACTTCAAACTTTCTTCCTCCCTCTCTTTCTTCCATCTAGAGCCTTAACTAGATGACTCGTTTATCGTAGTAGTGAGAGCAACTCTTTAAAGGGTTAGGAGAGGAGAGCAATGGTGTTCTCTTCTTTTATCTTCCATCTCATCCGGCTTCTCTATCTCACCTCTTAGCTCGACATCTTAGGTCTCTTGGTTTATTAGATAACCAAAAGTATTGTTAAGTTGTATGGAAGTAAGAATAGAATGACTCATTTTTTTTTATTGCCAATAGCTTCGACGTCCACTTGAAGACACTAAAGTTCTTGATACTAACAAGTTAATATTGGACAAAACTAGTCTCAAAATATGCTTTCATTTAAGAGTTAGACAACAAATTTTTTCTATTTAGTAGGAGTTGGTTTAACCATCCGGATCATGTTATTTGAGATTTTTATAGGAGGTGTTCTAGTGGGATTTTTTTATTCGTTTTCATTCGAGTGTAGTCTCATTTTTTTGAATTCGTATCCATATTAATAGCTTAACTTATAAAAAATTATATAATGACATGTCATTGAAAAGATCAACTCGTATTGAATTCTAGCTTGTCTCTAATTGTCAAGTGAGTCTGGTTCAAGCAATTTATTGAGAAAGGATTCAAGTTGTGAATCTCATTGGCTTACTTTATACACCATATAATTTCTTTTTTTTTTCTTCCCTCTTACTCTTGATACGAAAAAAGTGTTTCTTTTTTAGAAGAGTTTCATTGGACAATGACAACCGATAATAATTTCTTCCTACAATCCATAATTCTCCAACTTATAAACACAATACCACAATCCGATTTCTCTCTAAAATGGACAACACTACCCCTAAAGCTAATCTAGTCTAACCGAGGAAAAAATAGAGATTAAATTTGCAGGATGATTTTGAATTGTTAGGACTTAATCTAATATGTATTGGTTTTGTAATTTGTAGGTTTTGAGGGTTTTTAATGACCCTTTTATTTGTGAAGTCGAGAGGGGAATCTATTGGGTGGGAGTCCTTATCAATCAAACAAACAAAAACAAAAAACAAAAGAAAAGAATGGTAAAACAGAAGTAGATGATAATTCCAACAAAAATGATAATCATCCTCGTCAAATTTGCAGCACCTATTACAAAACTGGACCCTACTATTGAGTGATAGTTATAGAAGAATGCTAGTTAACTGGACTCCAAATAGAACTGGATCCCAATATTGAGGGTCGCTTGTCAAATTAACAACTCAACAAGATGGTAAGTCCTTATCAATCAAAGTTCTTAAAAATCCTTAAACAAAAAAAACATGCCTTATTTGTGAAGTTGAGAGGGGAATCTATTGGGTGGGAGTCCTTATCAATCAAACAAACAAAAACAAAACAAAAAAGAATCGTAAAGCAGTAATTAGATGATAATCCCAACACAAATGTATTGGGTGGGTTAAATTGAATGGTAAGCCCTTATCATACAATAATAATAAATAAATAAAAGGGTAAAAAATGATAAAGTAGAAGTAGATGATAATCTCAACCATTGAATTTGAGTTAATTGACCATCTACATTAAAGTTCAATAATATCATTTAAATGTAGAAATGAAAAACGTAACAAATTTAATGTTATATATTAATTAGTACATATAGTTAAATTTAACATAATGCTCTTGGGTTATTATTTAAAATACCCTTATTGTCCGGTGAAAAAATATTTTGAAGAAGTACCTAAATCATGGATTCTCTTGAATTATTATTATTATTTTGAAATACAAGTTACAACCCAATGTGTTTTTTGCTTTTCTTTTTTCTCGGCACATTGTAGTTCGAATTGAAGAAAAAGGCGCATTATTTAATCTCGTTCGAGTAACTATTTGTGGTAAAGAATTTTAATCCTCTTAGTTCTGTAATATATGGTAGATTTAAGTCTTAATTACTATAGCTGTTTGAGCACAATTCCAGCATATGTATAGCCATCTTCATCTTTGTACACCACATCCATTCCACGAGCAAGATTGAGTATCCTTGCGAGAAGAGTCATAGGGACAGTGACTGGGGAGAGACACTCTTCATTGACATCCTTCCATGCATTTACAACTTGTTTTCGAAATTCATGGGCACTTTCTTGTTCTGTGGTGCCTTTCGATGTTTGAGGCAACATGCCTTCTCTTTTGCTCAAACTATAAGAGTACAGAGAGAAAGATATTAGCAAAAGAATGACAAAAAATGTTTTGAATTGTTCTAGGAGTATAGAGACAATTAATACCTTGTGGGACACCATGTCATCCATGAATCCGCAAATTATTTCTGAGGCTTTAACAATCATAGGTCCACTAAATAACCAATCAAAGGAGTCCTTGGTTACAACATGGTAAAGCAGGGGCCATGTTCGTTGTCCTAATTTTGTCGTAAGTGAACTCAAAGAAAAGGAGAATAATAAAGGGAAAAAAAACTAGTAATACCATAACAACCATAAATCCACAATTTTGTCGCAACATATGCATGGCTAATAAAATCATCCGATGATGTATCAAATGAGGTGGATTCAAATTCTATTCACATTAAAATATACAATAAACTTTTTATTGCATTTTAGATGTTCAGATGCCCTTTTCTTAATTCTTTAATTTCTTAGTGTGAATAGAAAACCCTTTTCATTGTTATTTGGCGTATAAATCTTATTCTGATTTTTTCCTACCAAATTTTGTAACGACAGATATGGCTTTTCACCCTCAAAATCACCTGCTTAATTTCTATTGGCATTATGAAAATAATAATAATACTTCACAAAACACATTTTCACGATAATATGGTGCATAACCACAATGTTAAATATATTACTATCATAATCCAACTTGTTTTTTTTTTTCCCGATCGGAGGAGAAATGAACATTGGATAAATGACGATAGCGTTCTTCTATCCTTAAATCATATCTTTTATCTTTTCAAAAATTTAAACGTGAGACCTCCAATGAATATCTCGAGCAGACTCTCACTTCATAAACATCCCAGCCCAGTTTTGCCCATTGATACTTCATCAAGGTGTGTGTGTGTGTGTTGAACATAGAAAACGACTGGAAATTTCCATCACCATTCATCAAACAAGAGACTATGTGAATGGATAATGGATAATGCATTTTTTGTCATTTAAGCAAATCTAATCTTAAAAAATCTCACCTACATTTTTATCATTTTCTTCTAATGGGCTTATCTAAAATCAAGCGGGTAAGATCTTACCTCAGAGGCCCAATCTCTTTCAAAATAACCTCTCCTTAAACGTCAGACAAAACACTGGCAATCTAATGGACCTATTACAAGCCCTAACTTATTACAGACCAATTTATATTTCCGTAATTTTGGGTCTTGAACTCATATAAAGCCCATGAGAAATGGGTAATCCCTGATCATTGAGCTTAGAGCTGAAATGCTTCAAAAGTTCCGCTATCTTCATAGAAATAAATCCCGGATAAATTTTATAATACATCGGAGAGTAACTAGTATTATATACGGTAATTACCATATGGGTTCATTTTGAGGAGAGAGATAGAAATACAAAAAGAGAGAGTGAGAAACAGGAGAGAGAAAATAAAAAAATTTGAGAGAACGTAAAAATCTTCTTAAGACTTTTGATGGGTATAGATGTAATTTTCATCTTTTTTATGTGTTTATCTCTTTCTTCAAAATAGACCCATAGAGTAATTACTATATATGTCACTAGTTACTTCGGTGTATTATAAAATTTCTCTAAAACCTAAGTCTATGTTAAATAAAAGATGTTATATTAAATCCTAGAGTCAGCAGAGAATGGACTTAGCCATTTCTTCTACGTTATTTTTTAAAATTTTCTTTGAAAAGAATGACAATGCTATTAGGAGCACCATGGGAAGAATACAGCAGCAAACTCAAGAGAAATTGTTACTGATAACAATTTATTTCTAAAGCATGGTTTGGCATCCTTGATTGCAAAATAATTATCATATAATCCAAATGGTAGTGATCAAGCAATCATGATGTTTTAATTAGAAGAATCTAAATACAAAAATAAGACTACAGTCAATAATACACTTTTCTCCTCAGAAAGACACCAAGTGCTCCATCCTCCTGATCGACCAACTCAGTCAATCTCTCTTTGTCTGCTTTCAGTTTTTCATAGTTTCTTTCACTCCAACACCCCTGTAGAGTTGCTTCAGACTGTATAATCTCATCTCTGACATGATTTATCTGAGTGTTTGTACTTTACAAAATTATCCATTCCATAATTTTATATAAGTTGTATTTTGACCAAGTTAAATAAAATAAAATAAATTAAAACAACAAACAATAAAAAAAAATAAAATAAAAGATAATTTGTTGAAATAAAAAAAGTCAGATTACTCAATTTTCTTCACTTTCTCACAAACCAAATAAATCTCCATCACTATTTTTAAATGGTAAAAAAAAAAAAAAAATTAGCATTTACATCGTAGAACAAAACTTGTTTTTCATCAATTTTATATATATTCCAGTTTCTCAATAAAATCTTTGATCACACTTACATATTTCCATACAAAGCTTCATCAAAACCTTGCATTTTTTCTAGTTCTTTTGTTATCTTTTACTTGTTATGGTATTACCTAGTCGGTTGTGATCAACACAATTTTTTATTTATTGTTTGGTTTTTTTCAATTTTTAATTTTAGTAATTTAATCAAAATATGATCTACATAAAACTATATAGTAGATATTCATTAGACTTTAAAATTAAAGCCACTCATGAAAATATATATATATATATATATATATATATATATATAAACATTCAAATAACTAAATAAATAAAAATTAGACTCTCAATCAAAAATAAAATAAAATAATCAATATATACATATAACTAACAAGTCAACATACT